TAATATGACTATTACGTAGTTATATACCAAACACTAATGACCAAGATGAAGAAATCGAAGATTTTTCCAATTCCTGAAATAAACATGAAGGATTGGTAGTTGGAAAATAAGGCCTTGGTGAGAAAAAGGATGCCAGAGAAAAGTGATAGAATTTTGCAAGACCAATGGCTTCTTCAATGCAAATACCTGTTTGAACAATATGAGCTCTGACTTTACACATGGATTTCATCAGATGCAACAGAGAGGAAACAAATCAACTATATCTATGGAAAGAAAAAAAATGGAAAAATCTCAAGGTTATCAGATAGAACAAACTGGGACTGATTTTGGAAAAGATCATCAATTGCTCAAGCTGAAGAAAATGAAAACAAGTCCATAAGAGCCAAATTAAGAACTTGAGTATATGTCATCTTAATTTAAAGACTGTCTTGAGAATAATTTTGACCCAATGAATACTAATGACTAAAGACCAAATAAGTGGGATGACATCAAGGGCATCGTAGATGAAGAAAGTAAAGATTTAAAAAGACAGGAAAGAAAGGAAAAACAAAAATGGATGTCAGAAGAGCTCTAAAATCCATTCCTGAACACAGACTAGCTAAAGTAAATAGAAGAATTGATGAAGCAAAAGAATTAAACAGAAAAGTTCAAAGGGCAGATGGAAAAACAATGTATTATGTTGAAGAGTACAAAGACTTAGAAAACCAAAGGTAGAATACATACAGGATTTCTCAAGCTCAAAGCAATGAAGAAAAAATTTTAAGCCCCAATCAAGCTGCACTACTGAAGGATTTCAAGGGTTAAATAGTGAACGACATAGGCTAGAAAAGAAGATGAGAGATGGAAGGAATATCTAGAGTCACTTGCTACAAAGAATGGGTCAATATTAAATCATTTAATAAGGTGGAAATTACAAATGGGTCAGAAATTATTTAGAAGTAGATATTGGAAATTAATACTAAAAGTGGACCTTGTGTAGAATCTAGGAAAAAAAGAGTAGAAAAGATAGTCATTTGTTAGGACAAGCACTGCTCAATTTATACTGTTGTTGTTGTCAACTTACATCAAGTTGATTCCAACTCATGATGTTTATTATACAATTACTTTAAAGAGCCTTCAAGGCAGTGACCTTTCAGAAGCAGATCTCCAGGCCTGTCCTCTGTGCCAGTGCTGCTTCTGTGTTGGTTCAAACCTCCAACCTTTTAGTTAAAAGTTAAGCACTTAGGGGAGCTCTGGTGGCCTACTGGCAAGAAGCTGCACTGCAAGCCCAGAGATATGTGGTTCAAATCCACCAGATGCTCTGCTGGAAAAGGAGGGGCAATCTCCTCCTGTACCTGTCAGATCTGATTTGACGGTACAGACACACACAAAATAATAAAATTTTAAAAAAAAAAAAAAAGTTAAGCACTTAACTGTTCACACTACCCAAGGGCTCCTTTGTCCACATAAAGGGCCATTTATTTGGACAAACAGCTATAATTTAACAATGAGAATTCCTCATTGTTAAGAAATTGATGTTTTGGTATTCAAATAATCTCATGAGTCCAATCAACATTCTTCTAGTTAACCACTTCGTGCTAAGTAGATTTTTTTTCCCCTGAAGCAAGCCCAGAAGTTTCCAGTATGTCTCTAACTAGGATCTTAAAATTTAGTCTTAAAGCATTTAAAAAAGAGTTCCCAGCCTTTCTGTCTCCAAAACCACCTTTTATTTTCCCCTTGCTTTTGTTAGGTGCTGTCACGTTGATTCAGCACTATCCTTACAATTACTATTTTGAGCCCACCATCACTGTCAATCCATCTCTTTGAGACTCGTTTTCTTTTTGCTGACCCTCTCTTTACCCTGCATGATGTCCTTCTCCAGAAATTGGTTCCTCCTGAGAACAAGTCAAAAGTACATGAGATGAATCTCACCACTGTCCATTTTAAGAGCATTCTGGCTCTACATTTTCCTAACTAAAGAAGAGATATGTTCGTTCTTCAGGCATTCCATTGTATAATCAACTCATAATCCAAAGGCATCAACTCTGGTTGTTTGTACTCATTGTTCGGCTTGTCCATGCAGATGAGGTGACTGAAAATGCCATGGTTTATGTCAGGAGCATGTGAGTTCTCAAAGCCACATCTCTGCTGTTTACACTTTAATGAAGTCTTTTGTAGTATGTATTTTCCCATTTAATTTCTTGGATGCTGTCTCCATTGGTGCTGAATACAGATTCAAGTAAAATTACAACTTCAATCTTTTCTCTGTGTATCATTTTACTTACTGGTCCAGTGGTCAGGATTTTTATGTCCACACTAAAGGCTGTAGTCTCTGATGTGCATTAAGTAAGTCCTTCAAGTTCTCTTCATGTTAGGCAATCAATGAATTCTCTTTAATCCTGATGCCAAGTTCTTCTTCTTCATATAGTTCCGCTTCTCTGATTTTATGCTCAGTATACAGGATGAGTAAGTATGACAAAAGGATACAACAGAAATGCACACCTTACCTGATAAAAATAACAAAATAATCCTTTATTCTGTTTGAACAATTGCTTCTTGGTCTATGTAAAGTTTTTTGATGAGTTCAGTTAAGCACACTCGAATTCTAATTCTTTGCAATGTTATCCATAATTTGTTATGATTCACAAAGTCAAATGCTTCTGCATAGTCAACTAAGCAAAGCCATATATTCTGTTTTCAGCCAAAATCCATTTGAAATAAGCAATGATATCTTTTATTCCATGTCTTCATCTGAATCTGCTTTGAACTTTCAGAGATACTCTATTGATACAACCATTTTTAAGTTACTTTCCACAAAACTTTACGTGTATATTAATGATATCATCCAATAATTTCTGTATTTTGTTGAGTAATCTTTCTTTGAAATGAGTACACACAAAGGTCTCTTCCAGTTGGTTGTCCAGATGTCGTGGTATACCGTAAAGTAAGTGCCACCAGAATTGCATCTAGTTGTTTTGGATCTCAAAACATCTCAATTAACATTCTGCCAATTCCTAGTGTTGTCTTCTTTTTTTGCCAGTGTAGCCTGGACTTTCCCCAGTTTTTAATTATAAGCTATCATATGAAATGGCTGGCTGTCAATCAATTCCTTTAGGTACAGGGTCAATGCCCTTTCCTTCCATCTTCTTTTGATGTTTCCTACATTGTTCAATATGCTGCCAACATAATCTTTTAAGGTTGCAACTCGAGGCTTGAATTTTTCTTTAGTTCTTTTAGCCTGAGAAATGCTAAGTGTGTTCTTCTCTTTTGGTTTGCTAAATCCAGGTCTTTGTACATTTCATTATAATTTTTTACCTTGTCTTCTCCCGTCAGGCTTTGAAATCTTCTGTTCAGCTCTTCTTTCATTTGCTTTAGCCACTCAATGTGCAAGAGCAAGTTTCAGAGTCGCTTCTGACATCCATTCCGGTTTTTATTCCTTGTCTTTTTAATGACCTTTTGCTTTTTTTCACGTAAGATACCCTTGATGTCATCCCACAACTTGTCTGGCCTTTGATTATTAGTGTTCAGTGGGTCAAATCTAATGGTCTCTAAATTCAGATGGAATATACTGAAGTCCATGCCTTGGCTCTTATAGACTTATTTTTTCTTCACATTCAACTTGAATCTGCATATAAGCAACTTATTGTCTGCTCTGTATTCAGACCTTGGCCTTATTCTGACTGATGATAGTGAGATTCTCCATCATCTTTATTCCACAACTAGTTAATTTTATTCCATCTGGTGAAGTCCATGAATACAGTTGTAGTTAAACTGTTGAAAAGGTTATTTCCAATGGCTAAGTTGTTGATCTTATACAATTCTATCATACCCTCCCCAGCTTCATTTCTATCACCAATAACTGTATTTTCTAACTACCAATCCTTTGCTTTTGTTTCCAATTTCAGTATTCCAATCACCACTATTTATCAGTCTATCCTAACTGTATGTTTGATAAATTATAGATTGCAGAAGTTGGCAAAGATCCTTTATCTCTGTCATAAGGGGAGGGCTGGTGGCATAGTTCCTAGGGACTGGTGCAGTTCAGATGCACAAGAGGCTCCAAGGGAGAAAGACAGGCAATCTCAAGTACGAAGTAAATCCTATGTAAACCTACAGGTCTATGAGTTGGTTCCAACTCAACAGAACTGAGAGAGTTTGTCACTAGTAGTTGGTACATAAACTGAATAGTCCTCATATTAACTGATCTTTATTGCAGGTATACTGATGTTATCCTATCACTGACAGAGTTTTACTTCAGAAGAGATCATGAAATGCTCTTTTTTGATAATGAATATAATGCTCCTCTTCAATTTGTCATTCCTGGCATAGTAGACCATATAATTATCCAATTCCAAATGGTCAACAGCAGTCCACATCAGTTCACTAATGCCTAGGTTGTTATCCATCTTTGAGCAATTAATTTTATTTTTTCAACTGTCAATTTTTTAAGTTCACACTTCATATATTCCATGTTTCAATTATTAATAGATAGATGTACTGTTTCTTCTAATTTTGAGTAATGCCACATCAGAAAAAGAAGATACTAAGACTTAAGTAATTAATACTGACTCTCATTTGGAAAGGCAGCACCTAGGTCTACTATGAGGATTCAGGTGTATTCTGAGCACCTTCCAAACCAAGGGGATCATCTTCTGAACTGTATTAGAAAATGTTTCACTTCTATTTACAAGTTCACTGGTCAATTTTTTCAAAGGTAATTCATCAAGTCCTTCTTCTAGTCTCTCTTACTCTGAAAACTTTGCTGAAAACTATCTGCTATAAGTAATCCTGCTGGTACGCGCAATACTACAGTGTCAAAGCTTCCAGCAGCAACTCAATATGCAAGCCACCACAGTAAGACAAAGTGACAGACAAGCAGTGGTTGGACTCTTAACACATATATATGGTAAATTACATCATAATCACGTTTAAGAAAAGGCCATAAGTAACCTTCAAAGGCCCATAATCTTCAAGAAAAGAAAAGAAAAGAAAATTTTAAAGTCTCTTAAAATGAAAGCTACCTGGTTTCTTGGGGTGCGATGCTGGAGTTGGGTGCATCTTAGCATCTCTAGAAAACCCATCTAAGTTTCCTTTAATGGCTTCCAAAGCATCATCTCTACTCTTCTCTCCTGTCTAAGAGACAACAAAGAATTGCTGGTTTAATAATTTACTTTTTTTTGCCTCTCTCTAAACCCTCTCAAATGAAGAGTGAAAATATCAGTGTACTTATAACATTTTTACTAAAATGAATGACCCAAGTCAAAAGGCATTGATAAATGTATAAAAATATAATTATATTCCACAGAATGTAAAAATACTAAAAATTCATTTATAAATATTTTAAGAAAAGAAATAGAAACTCATCTTAAGATATTTCTGGAGCAGGGAGCTCTGGTGGCCTTGTGGCAAGAAACTGCACTGCAATCACAGAGATGCACGGTTCGAATCCATCAAATGCTCTGCTGGAGAAGGAGGGGCAATCTCCTCCTGTACCAGTAAGATCCAATTTGATGGTACACACAAAAATAATAAAATAAAGTTTAAAAAAATTGATACTTCAGGAGGCCAACATTAAGCCAGTAGGTGAGAGTGTATAAAACAAACAGTAACACCAGCAGAGGACAGGCTCCTTAGAACAATGAACTGTATTTGAAAAATGAGAAGACAGAGAGGGATGGGGAAACTGGACAAACGAGAACAAGAATTCTAGGGAGGAAACAGAAAGACAAGCTTTGTATGAAGTATTGATTAGAAAATGAATCACTATACAAACTTGCACAAAATATTAAAAAGAATTTTTTTTTAAAAAAAGAGAAATTCACTTTCACAACAGTAAGTTCTGGATTAAGCAGCTATGATAGTGCAGCCATTAAGCTCTCAGCCGCTCACCAAACATGGTTTCATTGATGGATTCATCAGTTGTTCTGAAGAGTAAGGTATGTCTCTGTCCTGCAGGGTGGCAATGAGTTTGGATCCACAGCACACAACACCAAGTTTGGGACTGACAAGTAAAGATTACAAGCACTGTTCTGGTAGTAAAATGAGCTGAGGAGACAGTGGCTGACAAGTGGACCCACTTTCAACAGTATGGTATCTTTACCAGAAAATAAAAATTCTTTCACTTCAGGACAAGATAAACCAAAAGGAATCAACTAAAGCCTCAGCTTGGACCTCTGTCTCAGCACTGAAAAATGAGAAGAGGAACAAATAGGGGAGAGGATGGATCCATTACCTTGGGCTTCACACTACTCAGAAGTCTGAGCTTTTGTTTTTGCTCTTCAAACTGGCGTCTTTTCCTTTCTTCTTCTAAGAGTTTTTGCTGTTGTTCAAAACGTTTTCTGTAGGAAAAACAATCTAGTGAGGAAAAAGCTTCAGTGTTTATCAATCTATTTTTACTAATGGTTTCAGCAATTATCATTTTGCACTTGTAGACCTATGAACTCCCTCCACTGCTAATATATCTAATTTTATTCTTATGAGAATTCCATTTCACTAAGTAATGAAAATTTCACTAATCTCAAATATCTAAATATGTCTAAAAATTATTTACCTAAGTAATACTTGTATTTTTTTTCCTATCTAATTTTCCAGGAGCAGAGACATTTTTCATAAAAAAGTAATCTTGCTTCTACCACAGCAGCTGTACTGTACAAGCAGGAGAGAAAGACCCCGGATGTAATGAAGTGATACAGTGACTGGGGCAATGGGGGTAGGTGTATCGGAGTCAGTGAGACTCGCTCAGGACAGGGCAGGCTTCTTGTACATAGAGCTGTTGTACATAGTGCCACTATGAGTTGCAGGCAACTTGACAGCACATAACAACAACAAAAACATGGCTGTGTGCCTCCCCATGGCCATGGGCCTCAACAAGGACCACAAAGTAACCAAGAATGTGAGCAAGCTAAGGTGTAGAAGCTGTCACAGGCACCTCACCAAACACACCAAGTTTGAGTGGGACATATCTGGGAGGTATGTGGCTTTGCACCCTACGAGCATCATGTCGTGGAGCTGCTCAAGGTCTCCAAAGACAAGAGGGCCCTTAACTTCGTCAAGAAAAGGCCAAGAGGAGGTGAGAAAAACTCAGCAATGTCCTGACCACCATGAGGAAGGTGGCTGCCAAGAAGGATTGAGTATGCCTCACTGTACCCAAAGCCCTCACTCATCTGATGTAATAAAATGTTATAAACAGGGGGATAAAAATACTCTAAAAAACCAGACAGGAAAACAAACAAACAAAAACAGAAATACTCTTTGCACCACTGCATACAAAAACAGTAAAGTCCACTTGCGAAGGTGGTTTCCTATGAGGGAAAGACCTCATATGAAATGATCCGGGAATCAGGAGGCCCTTATCTTTTTGGGTCCAGCCTTTGCTAGTAACTTTGTAACACTGTTGTGGATTGAATTGTATCCCCATAAAACATGTATTGCAATTTAAAACCTCATGTGTGTGGCTGCAATCTCATGTGGTAATTAGGTTTTGTTATGGTAAAAAGACCACATCATTGTAAGCTATGTCTTACAACAGTAAGTTTAAGATTAAGCAGCCCTGATAAGGCAGCCATTAAGCACTCAGCTGCTAACCAAAATAAAACGTGGGCAGCCAGTCACTTTTGAGATACATAAAAAAGCAAAGTAGGCACAGAAGGGGGGGGGGAACAGATGCCATGTTGAGATCTTCAAGGAATGCTGAGTATTTACAAAGCTTATACAAAGATTTTCTTCCACAGTGGATGGAATAAGCTGTCCTCTAGAGACAACATCCTAAATTCAGACCGTCATCACTTAAACTGCGAGAAAATAAGCTCCTATTTCTTAATTGACCCATTTGTCGTATTTCTATCACAGCAGCACTAAGAAACTAATACACTTTGATTGACAAATTCCTTTGTTTCTCTAGACCTTACTTGCCTAGATATAAAAGAAACAAAACTCAAACTAGATGTCAATGAGCGGACTGTGACTCATGGCCACCACATACGCTATCGCCTGTAATTGTGCCTTGGAATTTTCTTTATGGAAGGAGATTGCCAGGCCTCTTTTCTGGGGAGCTGCTTGGTGAGCCAGAACCCTAGGTTAGTGGCCGACTGCAAACCACTTAAGTTCCTATAGATGTGAAACAACGCTGAGTTAGAGGATGTCTATGGTCTCTTCTGGTCATAAACTTACTGTGAAAGTAGTTTTAAAAGATTAAAAGCAACTTGACTGTTTTTGTATATAAACTACAATTAGAAGATATCTGATAAGTTTTAGAACAACATGATTATGTATTGTCATTTTCCTTGAACCCTAGAGATCTCTTACTGCTGCTCTTCAGCAAACTGTTTCTGCATGTCGGGCGTGTACTGTGGGCCTGCAGGACGCATTCCCAGGAATGGCGCTTGTCCCATATAAGGCATTCCTGCTGCTGGCATTGGTCCCATTGGTATCCCTGCCTAGAAGAAACAGACCAAAGTTTAAAAAAACAAAATTTCTCCTTTCAACTACATAAAGGAAAACTGTAACTACCTTAAATTTTTAAGAACATTTTCCTCAATTTTGAATTTTCATGAAACATTGCATAACACTGATGTATCCAGAGGACACTATGCTAAGTCAAGTCAGTCAGTTGAAGACCGCTATTATAAAAAGCTAGGAAAAGGTTTATACGCAAATAGGCTCCTTTTTGAGTGGTTAGCAGGTATGGAAAGAGAGGGAGAGAGGAGTAGTAACGAACAGATTAAGGTGAGTGAAGGGGAAGGCGACATACAACTCAACTCATTGCCATGAGTTGGAACTTCTCAAAGCCAACCCTCCAGCGGATTTTCAGAGGCTGTATATCACATGGGAGGAGACTACCTATCTTTCTTCTGAGGAGCAGCTGATGGGTCCAAACTGCTTGCCTTTGAGTTGGCATTGTAACACCGTACCCACTAGGCCAACAGAGTTGATTAGACATTTGAATTCTAATTTCACTAATTAACTGTATGGTTGTTATGTACTGTCGAGTCAGAAGTGACTCACAGCTGACCGCCCAGTGGGTTTTCAGAGGCACTAAAGAGCACAGGAGGAAACTGCCCATCCTTCTCTCGCAGAGCAGCTGGTAGACTCAAACCACAGGCCTCTGGGCTGGCAGTGCAACTGTTCACTACTAAGCCATCAGAGCTCAATGTTAATCACTGTGATTATCATTTCTGATTAATGTTATAAAATGTGTATGAATGACTGAATAAAAAACCAATAGGATTTATAACTTTTCACTCAAATTAAATAAAGTTGAAGATATATAATAAAAGAATGTATTATCAAAGATTCAAAGAAGATCAACTCAAATTTAACTCTCCTTCAAGGTGGAACCTGTGGAGGCTGTAAACTGCACATGCGGAGACTGCCCATCTTTCTCCTAGGCAGCTGCTGGTGGATTCAAAATCACCAATTTTCATTTTTGAGGATCAAGGTACACCTGACCCAAGCCATCGTATTTCCTTTCAATTGCCTTATAGGCATGCACAAAAATTGGAAAATAAGTAAGAAAGATCAAAGAAGAATCACTGTCTTTGAATTGTGGTGTTGGCCAAGAATGTCAAAAGAACACACAAATCCTGTCTTAGAAGAAGTGCAGAGAGAATGATCCTTAGAAGGACAGACAGTGAGACACTGTCTCATATACTTTGGATCTGTATCAGGAGGGACCAATTCTGAGGAAAAAATCATCATGATTTATAAAGCAGAAGGAAGACTGCTGAGATGGGCTGACAGTGATTGCTACAGCTGGCTTGAGCCCAGCAGACTGTGGAGGGAGCAGGACCGGGCAGGGATTTGTTCTGTTGTACAGAGGGTTGCTAGGACTTGGGGCCAACTCCACAGCATCTGTCAACTACAACAAAAAGCATCCAGAGCTCTGAGCATTGAAAGCAAGGACACTGCTTCCTTCATGAAAACAGTGCTTCTTTCTCTAACAATGCTACTTCGTGGAAAAGTCCCTACATTTTCCAAAAGATCATTTTAAACTTGTTTAAGTCAATATCCAAATAAAGAAAACACCACATTTTCCCTAAACATTTTTTTCTTCTTTTCTCTTACTCTTATGAACTTCTCTTTATTTCCTTTTGAAGAGTGTCACCTAAGAAGTGGTTTATACTTATTTCTAAATATAATATTAAGCTTTTAGTATGGAGAAACATAACAATAAACAAGAACTGTAACAATAAAACATGAACTGTTAAACAGTAACCTAGAGAAACAAGTACCTGCATGGCAATAGGTCCCTGGGACATCTGAGAGCTGTAACTCATTCCCATCATGCCTTGCATATTAGGCTGCATGACAGAGACCACAGGAAATCCTTGTTGCTGTATAGGCATCAGACCAGCTGAAAAACAGAAAAAGCATCATTGAAGTTAATGTGTTTTAAAGTTCACTCTCTTAAGACCGTAAGTACATAAAGGGCTCATTACTAGAAGGGAGTACCATTTAGTGGAAGATGCACTTAGAAAATTTTCAAGTTGAATTACAGCTCTTTCAAATAGTTGTATGATCTTGGACAAGTTACAAAACTTTATCTGCATACCTGTCTGATAAAATATGTCAAACGGTGTGGCTTAATTATGGTATTTAGCCATCAAGATAGCTTTACATGACTTTTGCCTGTTGGTATTCACACATTTATGTTGTCTCTTCCCACAATGGACAGGGTGAGCCAATAGGATACGGTGGAAATGATGGTGTCTGACTTCTGAAGGTAGGTTATTAAAAGACACTGCAGCTTCCTCCTGACATACTCTAAGGACAACATGTTCTGGGGAAAGCCACTGCCATGCTAGGAGAATATTCAAGCAATTCCATGAAAATACGTATGTGGTACAGAACTGAGGCCTCCTGCAAAAAGCAGCATGAATTTGCTTTCTTGAAAGAAGATCTTCCAGCACTATCAAGCCTTCAGATGATTCCAGTCCTCATTACAGAATAACCGTTGAGTTGACAGCTCAATTCCTTACCACTAAGACACCAAAGCACCCTATGGTGTATACAGTACTGGGAAAGTCTGCTGTCAGAAACCTCTCCAAAGTCCTGAAGAGCAATGATATAAAATTAAAGACTAAGGTGTGTCTGAGTCAAGCCACAGTCTTTCCAATCACTTGCTATGTATCTGAGAGCTAGAAAAGAAATAAGGATGACAGAAGAAGAGTTAATGCCTTTGAGTCATGGTATTGGAGAAGAGTGTTGACTATCCCATGTACTGTTAAAACAAACAAACATGTCTTGGAGAAAGTGTAACCAGAATGCTTTTAGAGACAAAGAAGGCAAAACTTTGTCTCACATACAATGGGCATGTTGTTAGAAGAGAGTCCATTCCTTGGGAAGGGACATCATACATGGAAAGGCAGAGGATCAACAAAAGAGAGACAAGATGGACTGATACAACGATTACTCTAATTGGCTCAAGCGTGTTAGAGTTGACGAGGACAGGGTTCAGATCTGCTCCTCACTATGAGCTGTACTCATCTCAACAGCACTTAACACCATCAACTATATATATAAAAATACCTATTCATATATAGAATTTGAAGAAGTGAACCATGTCAACATATTCTTCACATAGTCCCATTTTTCGGATTGTATGCTTAGCATAACAAATGAAAAAAATATCGTAAAGGATAAAACTCTGACTGATGCAAACTTTTTCTAATCTTAAACCACACAGTATCCTCTTGTTCTGTTTGAACAGTTGTTCTAAGTAAAGGTTCTGCATGAGCACATTAAGTGTTTTGGAATTTCCATTCCTCACAATGTTATCCACGATTTGTTATGATCCACACAATCAAATGTCTTTATGCAGTGATGGAAACACAGGTAAATATCTTTTTTTTCCTACTAAAATAACATTTTTTTTAAAAAAAAAAAGGTAAGGATCTTTTTTGTGTTCTATGTTTTCAGTTAAGATCTCTCTGGCATTAGCAATGATATTCCTCATTCCATACCTTCTCCCACATTTCTTGGCATGTTGTTGTTATGTGCCGTCGAGTCACCTGCGACTCACAGTGACCCTATATACAATAGCCCTAAACCCTGCTCTATCCTGTGCCAAGCTCACTGTCTCTGACACACCTATCCCAATCACTCCAGTCACTGAATCAATCCACCTCCTAGAGGGTCTTTCTCTCCTGAGCTGTCCCTCCAACCTCCCAAGCATGACGACTTTCTCCAAGTACTGGTCCCTCCTTACAACATGTCCAAAGTATGTCAGGTGAATCTTCAGAATCTTTGCCTCCATGGAGCAGCCTGGTTTAACCTTCTCTAGGATGAACCTGTTCGTTTGCCTAGCAGTCCATGGTATATTCAATACTCTTCTCCAGTATCACAGCTCAAAGGCATCAGTTTTCCTTCTATCCTCCCTAGTCATTGTCCAACTATCTGACACATAGCAAGTGATTGCAAAGACCATGGCCTATATCAGGTGCACCTTAGTCTCCAGAGTGACACCATTGCTCTTCAGTACCTTGGAGAGGTCCCTAACAGCCGACTTTGCCATCGCAACACATCTTTTCATGTCCTGGCTGCTGGTACCAAGGGTTTTGAGTAAATACTGCTATGCATTTGCTGAAGGATCTCAACTGGTATTGTGAATTCCTGGAGATCTGTTTTTCACCAGCGTCTTCAGTGTAGCTTGGGACTTCTTCCTCTCATGAAACTGTCGAGTGACCAAGTCGATACAATTGACTGTATACTTTCTTTGCATTTTTTTAATGCTTCTTGCATCATTCAATATATATTCTAACATACTTAGTAAAAATCTCAAAACCAATTCCAAATTCCAGAAGAAAACTATATTGTTCTTATTCTACTCCTTTAATCCCTGTGTAGCTTTTTTACTTCCAAATTTCTAAAAAGCAAAATAATTAACCAGGACCATTACCACATAATTTGTAGTGCCTTTCTGAAGGCCAAAAGCTTTCAAACCCCTTGATCTATACCTGGGACACAGCTTAATGACAGGCAACTTAAATAATGCATAAATGTGAACACAATGAAAAGAATACAACCAACCCTTGGAAAAATTTACCTGAAATTCAACCTCCACTGCTGATTATAAATGGAGACAGTCAGTATGAACCCTGATCATCTGCTACTGAGCTGCTCTTTATCTTTCATCTCCAACGGGTGACCTAGGAGTCTGTATATCTTTAGCAAGTCTCTCATAACCAGTCAACAATACTCTGTGAGAGACGGAATAGTTTTCAGAAGCATCTTGGGGGTAGGGATACAAGCAATGAACAGAAAGAAGCAAGAGAGGTGAGGAGAGATATTTCCCTCCTTCAGTGTCATGTCCTAGCTGCATTAGAACACCGGTCCAGATTACATCTCTTCACTACTGCTGACTTGAAGACAAGGAAAGAATTAGTTTAATTTGGCCTCTGTCTAAAATCCAGAAGAAAAGCCTCTACCTAATGTAGAAGTGTCTGGGAATAAAATGAAGACTTACATAGGTTAAACTGAGTCAGAATATGTGAAGCTTTTTTTGTGCACGGTTATGTGTAAGACTGGGGTCCCGGGGTGGTAAAAACAGTGAAGGTAGATGCTCAGCTCCTAACCAGAGGCTGGAGGCTTTAGCTCACCCAAAGAAACCTTGGAAGAAAGACCTAGCAATTGATTTCTGAAAAAGTGACTACTGATAACCCTATGGAGTATCACTCTACTCTGATATACATCAAGTTGAAGTTAAAAACAAGGGTGGTTTTTCACAGTAAGGCCAAATTCTTATAGGAAAAGTCTGGCAACATAGAACTAAAAAAGTTTATTCATTCAACAAATATCAACAGAGATCTATGATGTACCATCAATATGCTGGGTGTTGGAGATACTAGCAATCATAAAGGAACATGATACCTGCCTGCTGGAATTTGAAAACTAGCAGAAGACTAGGAGGAGGAAGATCTCATGAAATAATGATAGGTCATTTCATTTTTTGTCATCTGCTCTTAATATTCTTATTCTAAAAGTCTCTTTGCATCTCTGAGATGTCAACAGAATGTTCAGGTGAGTTTGAGAGAAATGAGGAAGTGGCACTTACTACTCTCCCAAATTAACACATTTTTTAAAAAAACATTTCAGGAGTAATCATCAAATAAGTTTAAAACTGTGGGAACATGCCATTCTACTCAGCTGTACAGAATTTAGTTTCTATTAAATCCTTACTTTCAAAAACAGTAAAAAAAAAAAAAGTTCAAAACCGAAGTCATTACATACCTTGAGGAGGCCTTATTCCACCTGCAACTGGAAACATGAAGCTGAAAACAGAGTAGAAAAATACATCATGGTTTTCTTATGTACAGACAGCAGCTAAAACACATTTTAAAACGTAAATAAAAACACACACACACACACACACACACACAAAACCCCAAGCCCATAAACGAAAGAAGCCTGAACATGGCCCCACCATCTGTTCTATATGACAGTACTGAAATGTCCAAACTACTGAACAGTCATAGGGTGTACATGTTAACAGGTTGCTGTGGGGGGAAATTTCATGAATTATAAGACAGAAGAGCTGGCAGCCAGTCCTGGTTCTGTCATTGTCTGACTTCCCTGGATTACCATTTTTCCATCTAGAAAATGAAAGGGTTGAAATAAACTAAATTCAGTGAACATTTATATGTGCCATTACATGAAAGGAATGAATTAGCTTGCGATCTTGTTAAAGAGAAAGATGGCAGAAGTAACTGTAACAAAGAACAGAAGGTGCATGTTAAGTGCTATGTCAGAGGTCTAAAATACCAACAGAGATGAGAAGCGGGGGTGAATTTATTTTGAGAAGTTTTATCTTGGAAGGGTTTTTTTGAGGAGGCTTTTTAGCTGAATGGTCAAAGAAGAGAGGCACACCATATAGCTTCAAGAAAGGTCTGAGGTCAGATATGTAGGATGTATTCAGAAAAAGTGTTAAGTGTGAACATAAGGTACATCATCAGAAAAGTAAGCAGATAGCAGGGAGACTTTAAAATGCTTAATTTTATTCTGAATAGTTCAGGAAGTTGTCAGAGGAGAGTGACATGTCAGAATGTGCTTTAGGAAGTTACTCTGGTAACAATATGACCTTATAGCTAAAGACCTAGCTTGAAATATAAAGACCTAGCTAAGTGACTATCACAATAATCTTTAAAAAAAATGCAAAAGTTCATAAATAGGGCTGTGAGAATAGAAAAGAAGGAAGCAAAGATATTTAAAGGGAAAAATAAACAGGGCTTGGTAAGTGGCAGGATGGGAAACAGTGAAAATGCAGAAAGACCTAAAGATGGCTAATACTGAGATTTTTGAGCCTAAACAATCATAGACATGGAGATGCTACTAAAAACAGGAATCCAGTACGAGGTGGCATAGAGAGACTAGTAGAAAGAGTGATGTTTTCAAGAGGCACTCTAACAAGCACTAAAAAAGAAACTCACACTTAGGAGAAAGATCTTGATGAATCAAACTTAACCAGCTGCTGTTAACAGTGACTCACAGTGACCTCATGTTCATCAAACTAAAACTGGGCTCCACAGAGTTTCAATGGCTGATTTTTCAAAAGCAGATCACCTGGACTTTAGTCCAGGAACCCTCTTGGATATGAATATCCAACTTTAAGCTTAGAAGTCAAGTACATTAACCATCTGTACCACCTGGTGGCTCCAAAATTACCTTAGGATCTTTTAAAAAGATTTTATATATATATAAAATTGAATTGATAATGGACAAAATAGTCAAGGAGAGATACATTTATTTTATGTTGTTCTTATGTACCGTCAAGTCAGAACCAACTCATAGCAGACCTTCCAGGAGGTTTTCAGAGGTTGTAACTTGCATGGAAAGAGAATGTCCATCTTTCTCTTGCAGCAGCTGGGGGATTTGAACCATGTGCCTTTGACCTGGTAGCCCAACTCGTTACCACTAAGCTGCCATAGTTCCCTCTATACATATTCTTATTGTTAGGCGCCATTGAGTAAGACTCATAGTGACCCTATGGACAACAGATCTGAATGCTGTCCTAACCTGTGTCATCCTCATCATCTCTGACATACTCAAGCAGATAACTACAGTCACTGCTTAAGCCCATCTCACTGAGGGTCTTCCTCTCTTTTACCGACCTTTTCAAGCAGGATGTCCTTCTCCAAGGAATAGCCTCTTCTATGAACACGCCCAAAATATATGTGAGATGAAGCTTTGTCGTCTTTGCCTCTTAGGAGCACTCTAACTGCACTTTCTCCAAGACATATCTGCTTGTTCTTTTGGCAGTCCATGGAATATTCTGTGCTTTTCTGCAGCTCAAAGTCATTGATTGTTCTTCTGTCATCCTTATTTAATGCCCAGTTCTTAGATGCACAGTCAGCTTCCATAAAGATTGCTGCCCTGGAAACCCCATGGGAAGGATGTTCAACTCTCCCCAAAGGGTCACGAGTCAGAACTGACTCCATGGCAATGGCTTTTGTTTTTCAATGATGGGGGGGGAAAAGGATGAGAACAAAAATTAAGAAATAAACTACTATTGTGCAAAATGGTGATCTCTGAGTGAACAGTTTCAAGAAGATGAGACCTATATTTAAGGGTAGGTGCTGTCGAGTCGACTACAACTCGTAGCAGCCACACAAAGCACAGACCTGAAGCCTGTCCTGACCTGCGCCATCCTCCTGACCTCTGCCGTCTTCCAGCCCAATGTTACAGTCACTGTGTCAGTTCAGCTTATGGAGGGTCTTCCTCTCTTTCGTTGAGGCTCTACCTTTCCCAGCATGTCTGTCTGTCTGTCCGTATTTATTTATTTTTTTTTTAAATTCTGACACCTTTAAGATGAGTTAAAGTGTTTGCAAGCTTCCAGAACCTTCTCAGTGTGTCTTTTGAAAGGACTATCTCCTCCTAACATGTCAAAGTCTGTGAGACAGTGTCCCCATCACTGCCTCTGAGAAGCACCCTGATTGCACTTCCTCTGGACACATCTGTTGCTGAGTTATGCACTTGGATTCATAATGACATGCCATCAGCAGGTCTCCACAGCCATCAATCTTTAGAGGAGGAGACTGCCTCATCTCCCTCCTGAGGACTGGAGAGTAGATTCAAATCACTGACCTTCTATAATGGAATTTACCACCAAAGTTCCTCTGTCTGCAAAGAGGGGCTTCTCTGAACTGTATACAAAATGCATTACAAAAAGTAAAGTGATACATGGATAATATATTTACATTTCAAGCTGAATTTTGAGAGAACTCCAGTTGGTTGTTTTTTTTTTAATTAATTTAGTTTGTTTATTTTTCATTTCAATGAACATCTACAGAGATTTTGGAATTCCATTCATTCATTGTTGC